TCTTCGTGTAATTGAGGTGTGAACTGAAAAGTTGGGGATTCATCACCTACGCAAATAAAATCCTCCGTTCCTCTCATATAACAGATAGTCAGGGGGTGAAAGTTTCCAACGGAGTCATAACCCGGAGGCGCACAAAGCTCGCAAAGATGGGTTGCACTATATCGTGTAAATGGAAAATGGAAAACGGTCTGATCAGCTGCCCGGTAGCCGGATGGCTAGTATGCTTGCGTTCTATCTGTGAGGTCCTTGGATTCGAGTCCCAGTTGGTTCGATGGATTCAAGCACTGCTAATAAAACCCAACCAGGTCGGAACAGCTGTCCAGTGTTTCCTATCTCTTCAGCTCACGCCCTGTTTATACGATGAACTCATCATCTAATCAGATAAAGTCCTCTATTCCTTTTATGTAAAATATTGTATTATGACCTCCTTAAATAAATAATCGATAAAAGCCTTAGAGTTTGTTAGATGTAAAGGATTGAAAAAAGTGATTGAACAGAAGCTGTGTTTATCATTTTCCGCCCTTATCATGGTTGATACAACAGAATCCACCGTTACGTGCAAGGTTCGCAATGGGCTTTTTGGTTACACTAGCCCAATTGAAGATTGCTTGATTACAGATGAACTCACCCAACAGCAGTTGGTTGATTCGGAGTACAGAATGTTTCTGGTCACTGTATATTTGACTGAAATAGACTTCTGGTATATATGAGTCGGTTAAAACGGATCATAGTGTTGTTTTCATCCCGTCTCATTACCATTCCGCACTGGGGATGTGGAGTTCTTTTAACACATTTGAAGCGTCTCTTTATTTCTTCGATCGAAATGACGAGTGGTTGTCTCATTGGTGTTCCTATATAAAATGACCAACCAAGGTATTTCCGAAAACTACCCGATTCTGTGTGTTGTCCCAACGGAACACGTTTGGATTCATCCAATTTCGCAGGTGATAAGTGCAAACAAACATTCATCACATATTTGACCGAACATTTAGAACTGTTGAATGACTCCCTATGAGGGGATTATCGGGTATAGGAAGTGCATGTTAGGCAAATATCTCGTTTCTTACCAAACCCAAAAAGAACAAATCGACTTCACGGTTTCATCAAAGAAGCATCTGGGAAAACAGTGAAAATAAATTAACTGCCCCCTCATACCAGTCGACTTCTTTTCTTCCAAAATGTACCTCTAACCCTTTCGCATGCAGGTGTCACCTTTTCTTTGTAGGAAACAGGGTTGCACATTTAAATCTGATTCCTAAAATCAATTTTAACCTTGGCTAAATAAAACTTGCTACATCCTCGTATATTCACGGCCGCTAACTGAGTCGGACTGTCCCCACCAATTCGCGAATAACCACTTTAGTGACCTTCTCATCCGCAACATAGAGAAGAACCCGTTAAAGCTTTTCATGAGTTAACCACTTGTGTTTCACTGAATTCGGAAATCACGTGAAGTCTAACTTAAGTGTAATCAAGTAACAGGTGTTGTGTGACAGTCTGAGGGAGACTTCTTTTCTAAATCAAATTTGGTAAATAATTATTCACTATAGAAAACAAGAATAGCAGCATGCTGGATCCTATGGTACGAGGTTCGAACCCCATCACAGCCACTTGACTTTGGTGGTAGGCAGCTCTGCTGTTGTCCGGTTCAATACCACGCCTGCCCAAGTGGGGCCTTATGTGGTTTGCCACTCCAAGTCCCCTGGGGCTTAGGCTGCCAGTTTCCATCACTGATCGGCAGGTCCTCGTGACTATAGGATTCACCCCTTCTGCTGGTCGTCACACTTAGATGTGTAATAAAAAAACAGCAATCTATTTTCAGACGGGAAGTTTTAGACTGTAATTCTTGTTCAATCTTCCCAATGTATAAGATAGGATGGCGAGCTGCTCAGTGTGAAAATATTCCACACAAATTATTTAATCCTTGGGTTAAAACTATCGATTTTTCGCAGATATGAGCGTAACTAAAAGTATTTAACGAGCCACATGAGGAAGCAGAAAATATGGGCTTCATTTAGATCCGTTACGACATTGCATGATCTTGTTCCATCAATAACGCTTTTATTCCGTTAGTTCAAAGTTCGCTCATAAAACCCGTTTATATGATTCCCGCAAATTAGAAATATTAAGAACGAGACATAATAACCATCGTTTTGGAATCACAGTGCGTATGATTCAGAGGAACAGAATCTGTTTTTACAAAGCTCATTGATTTGGTTTGATGAAATAGTTTTATTGTGTTCCAGGTTCCTCATATATATATATATATATACATATATATATATGAAGATTATTCTCTTATTTCCAGTAAAACTAATGTAAAGCTTGATATTCACTGACAAATAACTATCAGAGATCAACAGCTGAAGTTTTCACGTCCATTCTAACAGACGAAACAAAAATAGATGAAACGACGCGTGATGGAATGCTATTAAATAAACGTTGCATGGAAGAGTTATCTCAGTCATGAAAATAAATTGGTTACCCGGTAATGGAGAGATGAATTTCAAACTAGAAAATGAACTTTACTTTCCGATTTGAAATAATTTTTACTCCATTTGTCTTTATGGGAATAGGTATCATGCTTACAGTGTTTTCAAATTTGACCGCATAGTACGCAAAACCAATGTTCAAATAGCCCTTCTCTGTTGAAAGCTAAAGCTGCTCGCATAGATTTAAAAGCAAGAAAAGATTACAGTTGAGTTTGAACTTTAATTTTCCCTGCTAAAGCAGGTAATATAATTTCTCTTAAAGCCAGGCACAGCATGCTCAGGTTCAAATCGTCAACTGTTCTTCACCATATAGATTTGCAGTAATGTTTATTTTAGTTTCGGGTTTTCTGCTGTTGACGAATGCAAAACTTAACTCTTTTTGATATGGAACGAATGATTTCTCTCAACTATTTTGTGAGGTCTCTTTAAGAATACAAGATCATTGAGAACATACTATTTGAACCCCCTTTTTGGTGTCGTCTCTTTCACCCTGACATCACCACCGGGCTGTTTATTACACCGTGTTTGGATTTTTGTACGGGTTTCACGGGTAGAAGACTTCAAACTAGATAACTCCCCTAATTCGAATGGGGCATTTGCAAAGGATATTCGCACTTTACTAAATCAGTAATTTGGACAGAGAACTGAGAAACATGGGTTTCCACAAGGTATCTATGCTCATTTCTCTGCATCTGTACATTAATACAGGCGCATACTGCAGTCAAAATGATTTTTATAGTCAGTGAGATAACAACTATGAGAACAAGACACCACGTGGGGCTGTGGTAGCCAAGTGACTAAGTCACCAACTTGTGACCAGTGGAGTCCTGGGTTCAAACCTCCCCGTCTCCGCCCGTTCTACCAGGCAGCCTTTGTAGGGAAGCGGCCCCTTCTTGAATGTTGACTGTACATTTTTATATTCAATAAGTAAAACAGGAAGAGAAAAACATTTTTGTAAGATCGCTGATCACAACGGACTACATGACGAAACAACAAAAAAGGAAGGAAGAAAAAGAGTAGGGGGTGAACAACCAAGGCATCGCTAATGTCAGTAACCATTCGGGTTGTTCGATACATCGCGTTTGAGAGTATGGATAGCTGGAGCCTCGTGAATTTCAGTAACTTTGTGTTTGCTGTATCGTAGATGACCTATAGAGCGTGGGTTAGAGTGGCACAATACGTTGTTCCACAAGTGATGTGTTATCGAAGATGTGAGCCTTTTCTGCACACTGGACAATGTAACAGTTTCACATGCATTTAGCCTGATGATGATGATGACGATGATGATGATGATGATGATGATGATATATATATATATATATATATATATATATATATATATATATCAGCTATTGCTGTTTCAACTATGGTCTCATGAGATTTGCTATAATCGAACTTCGTTATACTTATTGCAGTGCAAAAATTCTCTTGTAATTTATATGTTCCGTGAATGCAAGGACATGTAAACCAGCAGAAAAAATAGTCCAGCTTAACCGCTCAGTGACCGCTTTTGCTGGAATGAGGCCAATTTCATTCTGTTGAAGTGCAAAATCAAAACCAGAGCTTCATCCATGATACCGTTCCACAAATTTGTTACATCTTTGTTGAGTTAATTGGCTTTGAACCACGGTGAGAATGGGTTAAGCGGAAAAAGGAGTTCTCCTAGAAGTGATGACCGACGAGATCATTAGGACCACCCATCGGAGGGACAGAACAGGGAAACCAGAAACGGAAGATTGAAGAGTTGCACGCAAGCCCTAATTTTTTCATAAACACATACGTAATATCTGATATCATCATTATTAAATATTTTTTTATTAATATTATTTGTTCTGTTCTTCCTACATACGCTACCGATTTTGTGATAAAAACAAAACAATGACTTATTCAAATTTATTTTTTCTACTAACTTGACCGTAATCAAGATAAAAAACGAGCTCATACGTTCGTCCGAGAAAGTAGTGAAACAGCAATTTAGGATTAACAGCAAACGATGTGGCACATGGAAGTCATAGTATCTTGCAGTTATCCAATGTGAATGAAAGGAATACACTGTAATAGAGGTATCTCACTTTCGCACTGCAAACCAAATCTAAATTCATCATTTTTGAACCCAGTACAATAGGGACAGGTCTGTGAAAAATGAATGACTGAACTCGTATTGAACAAAGCACTAAAAAAAAACTTTTCGAGGCGTTTTCTATTTTTTACATAATTTGCAGATCGGTACACAGGAAGACTAACGATCTCAACCTGGACCAATAACGAAAAGAGGAATCTACCATACTTTGGGATGAATTTCACATATGCTCTCTCTCTCACTAGCTGTGATCGTTTTCATACCCCTTATTTTCCGACAGTTTAGGTCTTATGACTTGTCATTCATGAGGACTTACGTGTTGATCTTGTTGTGCACAACTATGAGCTATCAGATCATCATATAGAGGTTCACATTATCAGTGATGCGCCTTGGGCGTCGGAATGCGTTGCACAGTAGAGCGCAGTTTCATGTTCACGTCGGTATCGTATAAGGAGGCACAAGAACATCCCAGACTAGTATTCAGTGTTCGTTATCGTTTTCCGATTCTAATAAATGTTTTACATTTGACGTCGTACATTTATTTAGATGGACCATCGACCGAAGATTCATGGCGGAAACGAATGGGATCCAAGCTCAGAAATCCCAGTCAGTGGCGATTCAACGCAACCAAACCATTCCGAATTGCACCTCCTGATGCGGCGAATCGACCAAAGTCAATTTCCGAAGCGGAAGAACCTGCGGACCAGTACGACGTACGGTGTGCTGCTTGCATACCCGATCCGAGAAGCTTGACCACAGTTGAACTGCAAGTCATTCAGTCCCAATCCTCGGATGAAACATTGGAAGGTATGTGAGTTGATTCTAACCCACACATGTGAACGACATTCTCATAGATCTGGGGTCCCTAGACAAACGGAACATCAGCTCTTTAGTGTAAGAGTAGTTGGCGATTAAACTAGTTTTGTGTTGTCTCTGGTCGGTTTGTAATTTGCGAATGAGAGACTGCTGGCTTATCACCGAAGAACAAGATCATTGTTACCAGGAAATTTCCATAGAATTTAATAGAGTAGCATCAGGCGTTATGCCCAATTATGGGATTTGTCGGCAATCCAACCATGGGAGCTTGAGTGCTCGCACAAATTGTTTCTGAGCACATAGAGGGTGTATGAAGAAGGATGGAAACTGCCTCCACTGTGGCTAGAATGCTAAACCGCACGCATCTAGACCGTCCCGTTTTAACTCTATACAGGGATCGGAAAGCTTCGGTCACGTTTACAATGTGATGAAACGTTTGCAAACAAATTGTCAAGCTCGGCGAACAGGCGAAATAGGTAGAGAAATGTACACGAAGTTCTTTTCAGAAATTACCCTCTTGAAAAACGCCTCTTATAGCTGCATTACAGACTCCACCAAGCGCTCCGAGTACCCATTCTGGATAAAGACATTCCGCACGTTTTTGAATTTCTTCAACCAACATGTCCTCCGTGCAATTTATTCTAGCTCTATGGGCCAAAAAGATATGATATTCTTCTTCATACTGAATTTTTACAAAGCTACGAAAATGAATGTACTGCTCAATCCCAAATCAACTTCTTGTGTACCGACCGCCCAATGGACCCATCATCACGGCAAGTTAGGCAAACATCTATGTACGCTAGTTGATTATTTGTTTCATTTTCAATCGCGAATTTCAAATTCCGATGCGCTGCATTGAAA